GCTATGGCTCTGCAATGAGTGATTGTATAAAAAGCTCATGTTCATCAAAACCAAATAAATTAGCTAGATAAATAACAAAAAAGTATCACAAATAAGTAAACTTTGTCTGCTATTGCTTTTGTTTTTCCTGATAATTATTGGTAAGAAAGAATTTTATCTTTTTATGCTATGTTTTTTTTTTAGAAATAATTTTTTTGTGTTTAGAAATAATGCATATATTTACGATTGTTTTATTTATTTTCAGTTTAAGAACTAATGTTTTAGTTATTAAAATAACTAAAACATTAGGTCCAAAGCGTTAGGTTCAAAAGGTCCAAAACTCATTTTATGCATAATAAGAATGTTTTTATTTTTCTTTAATAGACTTTTGTAATTACTTAGCTAAATGCTTATTTACTTCATTGTAAATTAAGTACTGCGAAGTTCTAGGGTTGGGATTAGGTTACAAATATTTACATATGGTTTTCACCACGTGTTATTATTTGTAGCTCTTGTAAATTTAGAGCACTTTATTAAATTAATATAACATTCATACTGCAATTAAATTTATCTAGGTATTGTCTTGAAAAAAAACATGGTTAAAACAAGAGGTGGGGTATGTAGATCGTCACCAAGATTTCACCGGATATCGGTTTTCTGTAACAGAGGCTACTATATGTTATAATACAACTCATCTTTATGATGGTATAACTCCTTCAACATCTGGTAGTAGTACTCAAGCACGCCGGAAAGGTGTAGTCTAGGGTAGCAACTGCTACTCCTGCCCTTTTGGCTGGGGTGGCAAGAGTAGCATAAATGTGCCCTTTCTAGGAATTAGGTATTGTAAATTTTTGTGCTTTAAAAGTATTTCATTATCCAACATTTCATTGTCAATATTTTATTATCAATATCTACCAATTAGAACTGGTTATAGGTAGGATAAATGGTAATAGATTCATTTCTTTTCAAATGTTTTAAAGAGAAAACAGTTTTAAAATTGATTTAACCGAAACTTTAAAAATTATATTATTGAAGAGAAAAAAAAGAATCAATACCGGTGGCGCAACTCAGAAACAAATAAGATAAATAAACCGACGTTAAAGAGTTTTTTGTAAATAGCAATCACGTTTAGAATTAATATGTTTCCGAAAATCAATTTGAAATTAAATAAAATATGTTATATTAAATTTTATTCTTCTTGCTATCGTCACAGCTATCGACATACGTCACAACTTTTTGTTACTATGCTTTAACTCTTTATATATATTCCAAATGTTTTTTAGTTGATGTTTTTCAAAAAAGAAATGTTTTTTGAGTTTGTATTTTTATTTTCGAGAAAAAGTGAAGAAAAAAGGAACACATTGTGAATATAGAGTTATAAAAAAAATATAGCAATAGTTTTTTCAGTTAGTATTTTTATTTTCGATGATTATTTTTGAGTGGTGATTATTTTCGACGATTACCTGCGTACAAATTTATATTTCTTAGTACTTTATTTCTTAATCGTAATCTTAACGTAAATGTAAAGTTTTTAACCACTGAACAGTTATGCCGAAGTTTCGGCCGAAGGCCGAAACCACTGATTTTTTAGCGTTTTAGAGTTTCTTTTTGTTTTTTCGAATATATTTGTATAGTTTTTATGTCATTTCGTTTTTATAAGTTTTTTTTTTAAGTATTTATCATACAACTTTTGTTTTCTTTTTGAAGATTTTTTTAACCCATTAAACATCCATGGAATCATAACTGTTTTTGTGTTCACAATCATTTTTTTTCCAGGAAACAAATAGATTTATTGACAATTCAAAGTCAATGCTTTCAGCAAGCTCACGTTCAATTAAAATTAATGCCAATACAAAAGAAATTTTTTAAAACGAACCACTGAACAAAACAGTTATGCCGAAGGCCGAAAGACTTCAAAAGAAAAAAAACTAAGGAATTATCAAAAGCATTAGCATCACCTTATTAGATCAAAATTACAATTTTGTTGAAAAAAACAACTCAACCGGTGGAACCAGAGAACCCTCACAATGAACTACAGAATCAGGATAAAGTTGACATAGGCAGTCAAAAAATAGGCAATACAGAAAAACAGGAGTCCGATACAAAAGATGGTGAAATTCTAATGGAAAATTTTGTTAGAAAAGTGGAGGATTTCAGTTTGATAACTTGTATTAAGACTTGGTTTAATGAGTTTAGTTGGTTATTTTATGATCGATCACTGAAAGCTGTCTTTTGTGAAACCTGTACAAAATATGATTCATGTTCTAGTGGAGTGTTTAAGCATGGAGTCGGAAAAGGATTTAGAAAATGTAGCAAATCTTCAGCAGCACTAAAAGATCACGAGGACTCCAGTGTTCATAAGGCTGCAAGTGCTCTAAAGGTTGAGAAAGAAAATATAAAGTTTACAACAATTAATGCACAAATTGACTAAATGTACATGGAGAAGCAAGCAGTTTGAAGAAAAGGCTTTCTAATTTATTTCGGAACATTGAAAACATTGTTTCGACAGGATGTAGCTATAAGAGGTGATAATGTTGAAGAATCCAATATTTAACAGTTTAATTTGGATAAGAGTAAAAGTGACAAGACATAAGAGATGTTGATGAATAAAAACTATTATTTTTTATTTCATGACACTTGTAAGAGCAAGAACAACTTCTCACCTTAGAAGCACGAAGGCAGATTGTTGAACTGATCAACGATAAACATTTCTATTCAGTACTTGTAAATGAATTCTCAGATATTACTAAGAAGGATAAAATGTCGTTTAATAAAAGAACTTGTAGTGACAACTATAAATAGAATGAAGATTTTATCAGAGTATATAAATGCGTCAACGAACTTTCTTCTGATGCCTTGGTGACATATGCTGAAGATATCCTTTTGAGGTGCAACTTAGAATATACAAAAGTTGCCAGAATTGGCCAGAATGGAGCATCAGTTATGAAATGCTTGGCAGCAAAACTAAAAAATAATTTTGGAGAGCAAGCACAATATTTTCATTGCATAGCACATTGCAGCGAGCTGATTGTTAAGGATAATAAATGCAATATCGTCACTACGTATGTCAGTTTCTCTCAGCATTGTCCAGTCAATTTATGCAATTGTTGGGGCATATCCAAAGCATGTTGCCTTTTTCGAACAAATGCAAAAAGATATACTGCATAAGTCTGAATTAGATGAATACAGAATATTGCGACTGAAGTCTATGTCAATGAGTCAATGGACAACACGAACAAAAGCAGTACAAATGGTGTTGGAGAAGATTGCAGAACTGCGTACAATATTGAACAGTCTTTATAGTGATAGGATTATTGCGGCAGAAATAAGAGCACAAATTAAAGGTTTATTATCTTAGCTTTCATTGGTAAAAACACATGTTGAACTGCAAAGCACTTTTTAGTTTTTTGCTATTCTAGGAAATCTATCGAAGCAGTTACAAGAAACTAATCTGACAGGTAATGTCGCAGTATTCTGCATTCGAAATGTGTCTTAGATCAGATAGAATTTAATAGAATTTTAAAGGCGAAAAAAAAATTACCTGGAATCAAGCAAGACAATGAGTCTGAAACCGAAGTTACGCAGAGACAAAGAGTAAAACCTAAAATATTATGCGATTCATTAATTACTGAGAAGCTTAAATTGGGCGGTGCAATGGGCAGTATGGGCGGTACATATTACTACACCATGCCTCTATCGACACCATCATGTGAAAGAAGCTTTATTGTAATGAGGAGAGTAAAAACATGGGTTAGGTCACCAACTGGAGGCAATCACCTGAACAACATCATGTTTGCTCAGATACACAAAAAACAAATCGACAAAATTAACATTAAATTTTGCCTTTAAAAATTGCCTAACAGTTTGTTGAGATGAATGACAGCAGAATGAATTATATCGGAAAATACACTTGAAATCGTTCTAGCCCCGTGTAAAGGTAAGAATGGTATAGAATGAAATGTACTATTGACATCTAGAAAGTAGCTAAGAAACAGTTGATTTATTTAGTAGGCTGTTTAATAGCATGTTATAATATTTAGTGTTAATTGCACTGTACACACGATTCGTAATAGTAAAAGTAGTAGACAAAGTGACATTTTTTGTGTATTTTTTGGAGAACAGTTAGGTTAATTAAAAGATTTATTTATATTAGATATTATACATAGTAAAATATTGCGTTGATTTTTTGGCAAGTGCCCCTGTGTTTTGGTTTGCCACCCCTGCCCTTAGGCCCTTCCGGCGTGCCTAGTAGTACTCTTGACATTTGTCAAATGAAACAGCTACCAACAATTGATGTTTCTTTAAATCCTGTCAATGGTTCCAATCATTAATCAGTCTCTTTTAAGAAACGGGGAAAATTCCTGAAATGGAGTGAAAAAAATACGATGAGTGCAATTAAGCATGTCAGATCAGAGCCATCAATAGGCAGCAATATTGTACAATGTGCTTAGTACAACACTAAGAAACAGACTTTCTGGAAAAGTTGTTATTAGAGCAAAGCCAGGAAGAAAACCTACCCTACCTTTTGCTCTGGAAGAAAAATTTATCGATTATGCCAGCAATAGAGCAAAGGTAGGGGTAGGTTTTGGAAAGTCACAGTTCCTGAATTATGCTGAGAAACTTGCCGCAATACATAAATTTAACTTCAAGAAAGGACTTCCAAGCAACCAGTGGTGGACTAGGGTTAAACACCGGCATGGGCATAAATTTACTCTGCAACAACCTGAGTGTACAGCTTCAGTTTGATATCAGTGTATGGATAAAGATAAAGTGTCAAAGTTTGTCTACAACTTTTTTTTTTTTTTTTAATTATTCACCTCCCCAAGGCCCGAGGGGACCACTACAGTCGAGGAGGCTACTCATTTTTTTTTGTTTTTTTTTTTGCTTTTTTTTTTTTTTTGTTGTAAATTGTGGTACAACCCTCTCTCAACTCTTTAACTCCGAAACACAAGCCTTGACAAGCAAGGTTGCTGCGCGGAGAAATTTAGTTGAGCGCGGTACTTTCAGGGACATGGTGGGAGTCGAACTCCGAACCTCTCGCTTACAAAGCGAGCGCTCTTACCACTACCGCATTGACGTAAAAACAAAACACTACCGCATTGACGTAAAAACAACTTGACGTAAAAACAAAAAAAGTGGTCGCACGAAAAGGCACAAAGTCAAACGAGTAAAAATCGAGAGTCAATTACTGTTATTGCATGTGTGAATGCACAGGGCAAGTTCATTCTATCCCAGATTATAGTGAAGAGAAAGACATCCGGGTCTTTATTGGGTTTTAACACTGAGTTCACGCCTCCGGGAACAAATTGGAGCTGGTCCAATTAGTGGTTGGACTAAACAGAGCCTAGCAAAACTTTGTTTTACCAAGACACTTTTAGAAAACGTTGGTCCATAACGTCCTCAGTTATTTTGTTTTTGTTTTTGTTATTTAGGTGCTCTATGAAGACCTAACGGTCTTGTCACAGAGCACCGTGGAAGTGCATTTAACCAGGAAGTTCACGCTTTCTTCCTTACCGCGACGTGAAAATATGTCCAGAGCTCGTTTCGAACCTCGATTTCCTGCTTATAAAGCAAGCGCTCTAACCACTGTGCCACGGCCGCACAATTTCATTCTTGATGGACACAATTCTAACAACTTTATTGAGCTAATTGATATTGCTATTCAGAACCAGATACATATTGTTGAAATGCCTTCACACACATCAAACTGGCTTCAACCATGCGACCGCACCTTATTCAAGCCACTGAAGGATTATTATCGCTTTACAGCACAAGATCTGATGGGTCAGTTTCGAGGAATTATTACTTTTTGTTCAAATTTTGCAGGGATATTTGCTTGGGAAAAAGCAACAACTTCTAGCAACATTACATCTGGGTTCAAGTCGTGTGGAATTAATTCATTTAATCCTCAGGCTATTCCTAGTGATGCATATTTACCAAACTATCTACACATAGCTGAGGATATATCAGTTAATACAACTGAAAACAATTGTTCTTTGGTTAGTATTGTACGATTGTGTTTTTGCTAATACTACTATACAATAAGAATTATTATTTAAATTTTAGCTAGCAACTGTGACTTATATTTTATGTACAAACTGATAAAAATTCTGAATGAAACATAAAGCTTACTAATTTGCATTTCAATAATTTTATTTATTATTTTCTAAGGAATTCTAATCATTAATTGTTTAAGAAATTAATTTTTCAGACGTTGATGCTTCTATAGATGCTGGAAAAGTTGCTAATTATCTAGAACAATTACAAAATGGCACTGAAGAAGACAACGCAATTGTTGTTCGTAATAATCAACTTTTATATTTAGTCAATCCAGTTGAAGAAAAAAATGTTGACTGCATTGTGAATAGTTTTACCAATCTTACTAAGCAAAAAAAAAAAGAAATCTTAGAACCATCAAACGATGGAAAGATATTGGCTAAGAAAGAAAAAATTAGAAAATCGTGCCAACAAGTCTATAACAACAACAAAAAAGAAGTTCATTTTATTATCACCTGAATAGCAACCATTGGTTGATCCCGAGAGCAATACTGACTAATATGTACTAAATATTTGGCAATATTTTTTATAAAACTAAAAATGCATACAATTTCGTCTTATTTATATAAACTTTTTTATTATTTTTATTTAAAAATTCTCTAATAGTCTTATTTGTGATAAGACCTAATGGTCTTATCACTAAGCACCGCCACAAGGGCTTAACCATTTAATGAGTTGGTTCCCCATTTCGAGCTTTACCGATAACGTATAAATGTTTCGAGCAGGATTCGAACTCGCAACACTTATACGATGAGTAGCATGCTCTAATCATTACGCCACGGCTGTTCAATATAAAAATTATAATTACAATTGAGATTGATCTCAGAATCCAGATTCAAGTCAGAATCTAGTTCGCATTCACAAAAACCCTATGGTTTTATGCCCTTCTTATTAAAATGGTGCAATTGAGCATAGAAATTAACTAACGAGGTTTAATCTCACTCACCTATATATAAAGTTGCTCTACGCAACTATAAGTTCTTTTTTAATTTACACAGTGGTCGACTTTAAATCAACATGGCGAGATTGAGTTCAAGTGGTTGAGAATCAGTGTTTTTGACACTTGTGGAACTTACAATTTTTGCCAACTACTCTCATAAAATCTAAATAGTTTTACATAGTTTTGTAGCTGGAGGAATAAGCTATCTAATGATGTATAGTTCAGCTGTGCAAGTCTAATAATAGCCTGTCAACATCAATTTCAGTGCAGATGTGGGCGAGGTTCGATTAAGTTACCCTATGAGCAAGATTGAAAAAATTTCAAAACTTATTACGCTAAGAATAGGTCTTAAACCCTCCAAAACAACACTGATGACAGCGCACTTAACCACTGAGCTATCAATGAAATGCATTTACCAGAAAAACAAACTTAATTATAAGTCTCTTATGCGGAAAAGGTGCGCAAAATGTTAACTTTTTTGTTCTTAAAGTTTTTTTCAGAATAAATTATTTTACTAAAAAATATTGAAGTGAGGAATAATTAGGGGTCGTCCATAAATTACGTTGACCCCCTCCCCCCCTTTGTAACGTTTTATTGATGCCCTCCCCCAATATTACGCAACAATTTTGTATCCCCCTAAAAAAATATTTTTAAAGTTTTTTCAGAGTGGATGGTAGGGAGTAAAAAATTTTACAAAATACAAAACGATTTTAAATATAATAATGCCTATAATTCTCTGAGCTTCTTTGAGTTAATTAATTAGTACTTTTCAGTCTGTTTAACGTTTTTTTTCACTCCAATAGTTCCGTAAAAAAATTATAATTAAACATCGCTCTCCTAAACATGATACCAATTTTAAAAATCTATTTTTCCGATATATAATAAATGCAAAATATTATATGTATATAATATATAATAAATAATAACATATTATACATGCAAAAACATTAATTTATAAATACAATTTTCTTCCAACTAGCAACATAAGCGTGGTCGAGTGGATTCTGCCTCCGGCTAGCAAACTGAGGCACAGTGGGAAATCACATGGGCAAAAATCAAAAAAGTGCCTTAGTTCAATTATTATGTCTGATAGTGGGTTTTGTAACTAATAACCTCACTAAGTATAACCTCACTAAGTATATGTAAGTAATAACCTCACTAAGTAAGTTAATTTTCGATAAAAAAACTCTCAAGATGCTGGATTTTAGTAACTACTATTTTTTTAATATACAGATCATTGAAAAATTGAGAGTATGCACATCATTGGAGAGGTTACAGTATAGACTGTTAAAAACAAAAAAATAAAAAATTTCTTGAAAAAGTTGGTACTACAATATTTAGCATTAAAAGTAAATACTTTATCACAAAAATACTAAACTTTAACTTTGATGAAGAATTAAAAAATTGTTCCAATTTGTACCTTTTCCTTATTTTGATATTTTTTAGTCTATAGTGTCTACTAACTACCCAGAGAAGTGTAGTTGCGATCATCCGCGATCTTGAGCGCTAAATAATTTTGAAAAATTGATCCTTTTTTAAACAAATAAAAAACTTCTTTAAATAAATTTTTTTTTTCATTCATTATAAAAAGTAAAAAAAAAAACGACTTTAAGGAATAAAAGACCTAAGTAAATTTGTTTTCGTGTTGTTATTGTAAGGAAAAAAATTATTTTTTATTTTTATTTCATGAGGTTATGGTTTTAAAATACACAATTTATTTAAGAAAAAAATAATTCTAAAGTGGATTTATAATGTCCCACTAATCGACTAAAAACCACATGAATTTCTAAATGTTGTTAAGAATTTTTTTTTTACTTTGTAAGTTTATTGTTGTAAACTAAGATAATGGAGGAAATCAGCTTAATGTTTATGTAATGTTATATTATGTTTTCAGGTTTCGATAAATACTTTAGAAAATGTAAACAATGGGTTTAAATACATTGTTACTAGGATTCAAGTCAGAGAAGACAAAACAAATTTATTAAGAAAGAGATTAAAACTCTTGCAAAGTATGTTGCCCATTGACATGCATTATCACCCACTAAATGCGCCTATAAGCAAGTTAAACACAAAAAAAAAATTATTATATTAGGTCTCTATTTTACTCAAATAAGGCTGAATACCCACATAAATACAACGATTATATTTTTGTTCATCCATTTAAATGGAATGTTCCCACTGTGCGAAGGTTCCATGTTCGTTTCTTGGTATCGAAAAGTTTTTTTTTTAGTTACTGCACAAAGATTGTTTTTTGTTGCTGCACACCTTTGTGCACCAACTAAATAAAATTCTGCACTTGAACCATATAAATTTAAAACGCAGAACGCGCACTGCACAAACAGCCGTAACAATCCGTTAACAGGCTGTAACCGTTAATAGGTTGTAACAGAGTGTACACATCAACTAAGTAAGATTTAGGCGTAGTTAATTTTACAATCAACATGTAGATACATCAACTGAGGGTTTTGGTTTAGTCAGATACTCTCTTAATTAAAAGAACGTCTTCTCTATAAAAAAAAAGGGTGCGTCACAAAATCGAGACCCCCTTCCTCCTCGTAAAAAATCGTCACAAAATTGCCAAACGTTGTTTCAATGTATATGGATCAACGTTGATTTAATGTATGTACATTAAATTAACGTTGGTATAAACACATTGAATCAACGACGGGTTAATAACATTGGATCAGTGTTGGGTTTAGATTGTAAAAAAAAATCAAACTTTTGCGATATTTTTACATACATTAGATCAACGTTGATTTATATATATTGAATCAACGTTGGGTTTAATATATGATCAAGAAAAATGGAATTCGGGGTGGGAAATGAGCTAGCGACTGGCGAGCGACTAGCTAGCTTTATAGCGATTTTTTTTTTCCTATTTTATTATTTGCCTAATGTCTTTAACATCTTTAAAAATTTGATTTTTAGTGTTAAGTCTATAATAATTATGAGGATAATTGAACTTTAAACATTGCGATTTTGTAGCAATGTGTCGTTAGCTACATATCGTAGCTTTGTAGCTAGCTACAAAATATCTACAAATCTATAACTGGTTGATAGCTAGATATCAATTTTTTTTTAGACAACAACTTTATTGCGATATGAATCTAGCTACAATAGCCAGTGGGTCTTTAGCTTATTAAGCTGGCTGTCCTCTAAACCAAATGTCTTTCTTTATCTTTACAAATATCGATAGCTTTTCGCTAACTTAAAAAAGCTAGTGATCCTCGTGGCCAAACCGCTGTCTTTATTGTTACGATTATAACTATTTTTCGATAGCCGATTTCTACCGGGTTATTTCCCATCCCAGTGAACGGTCACCATTTTAGGCATATTATTCTTAAAAACTGATTTCATAAATTCCACTCGACCTTTTCCACCTTGTGTGCGAATGCATTGAATGATGTTTATCAAGAAATCATCACAGCTCAGATCCAACTGACTTTTTCTGCATATTATGCTAAATATATTTTAAGTTTCTTTTACAATGTTACATAAGTTGTTAAAGTTTTTTTTCAAGCTTCTTATATTAAGATGATCCCGTCCTAGAAATTCTTTTATTTCCTGGTTATAAAAATGCAAGCATTTGTTTTGCAATGCTTCTAAATCAATAAAGTAATTTATGTCTGGATCTGAATCAATGTCAATAACTAAATCATTTGTTTGAAATAAATTACATGAGATTGATTTAACTAAGGAAAAATGGTAAAAAAAATGTCTTACCAAACAGGGCTTTGATTTAAACTGATTAATTTAATAGCTCAGTAAAATTAGCAAAAAATGTCATGTTACCTTGAAAGAATTAGGAGCAAGCTGAAAATTGCTGGAAATGTTCAGCATGCACTCCTTATTAATTTTGGATAAAATCGGTCATAATCAGGCTGGAGCTTTGTCTGAAATACAAAATGGCGTCCAAAATGATATTTGTAATATCTCAGCCTGTATATGATTAAGAAATATGATTTTTGCATCTAGTATTATGTTTTTGAGGTCAACGTTGGGTAAAAATATGATCAAGAAAAATGGAATGAGGTTCTTCAATTAATGTGATATGTCAGTGATTATGTCTTTACTGCTAGTTTCTAATGCACAAAGAGTTTTATCTTTTCTTCCATTAAATAAAGTTTATTTTGGGCCTACTGAACACATAGTTAACTTGATTTGTGTTCTAAGCAACTGTCTTTGACGCCTTGGTTCGGTGTAAAGTGCTTTTCTGTCGTGTTTTTTTATAGTTCCGTAATCTGAAAGTGTGACAGTAGCAATTGCAGCTCCAGCAACATCAGATACACCATATCTGTCACATTCTCTGGCAACCTTTGGAAACTTTATCATATTTCTGTCAGATTCCTAGCTAATTCACAGAAATTTGACAACTGATTATCATCGACATTGCTCTTTTATGTCATTTACAAACTCCTCCTCACCAGCATTAATTTTTACAACAAATTTTGTTCTTCCTATTTGAATTCTATAGGACCTATAGGATTGAAATTGCATTCCTATAGGTATCATATTGGTCCTATAGGAATCCTATAGAATTTATAGGTTACATATATGAATCCTATAAAACCTATAAGAGTGCATTAGAAATCAAAGAAGTATCATATAGAACCAATAAGATACATCTATGAATCCTATAAGACCTATGGGACTGCATTAGAATTTCTAAAGAACCTATAGGAATTTTATTAGTCCTATAGCAACCCTATATGACCTTATAGATTTTAATAGGATTTCTATTACAATTCCATAGGTCCTATAGGTTTCCTATAGAACCTAAAGTAATTATTTTTACTTGACGAAAAATAATCATAGTATTTCTGTCTCTTTGTGCTTCTTTCAAATGCTTGGGTTAATATAAAAGTTATTTTCTTATCTAAAGAACCAATAACCATATTTTTTTCCTTGTATTGATCCATTAAAAATTCATGCTCAAGTACTGGCACTGTTGATATTCTCGGGCATGTGCAATTACTTAAATTAAGACAATGACATGCAGCAATCTCAAACAATACTAAACTTTTCATCTTAGCAATTGATACTGCTGAAATCTTTGATTCACCTTTTCCTTTAAAAATCATTCTCAAATTATTGTGCAAAGATTCTACTTTCTGTTTCACTCTTTGCATTGTAACAGTTGGAATACCAGATTTCAACCAAATGTTCATAACATTTGGATAACACAAAACACAAAACATAGCATTTAGAAACTCTAGAAACTATTGTTAGCCCTAGGAAGTAGTAGTTTAAAAAAGTAGTAAATTCACATTCGATGAAACAAGTCACCTGCGCTCTTGTAACAGCCATAGTTTGCCACAGAAATCAAAATATTTTTAATTTTCTAAATATAAACTTAGTTTTATTCAATTTGTAAAACAAAATTCTAGAAGTAGATTTAAATTCAATAAATCATATACAGATGTATTGTTTGGTATATATGGATTTTGGTCTTAATAATAATAATTTAAAACGATAAAAATGCCTTAAATAAAATAAAAAATAATAATTTAAAAAAGTACCAGTTCACTGAATAGATAACTAGAAAGTAGTTTATAAATCCAGCCTTAGTTTTATTTTGGAAAACATTGAAAAAATTATGATCAAATTAATAGTTAAATACCAATAAAAAACCTGAAAATGCACAATATAAATCCCCCAACGGAAAAAGAAAGCCAAAAAAAAAATTGATTACTATTCTTTTTTCATTATGTTATCCAATACTAACAATTTATCACAGTTTAAAATAAAATTTCATAATTTTAGAACAAAAATTACCAAGTAATTTAATAACAATAAAAAAAGCCTAAACAAAGCACAAATATGGTAAAATAAGGTCTTTTAGCAACAAATGAAGAAAAAATAAAGTTAGGTTTTTTTTTTCCTATTTAACTTATACCGTTCACGAGCAACAATTTACACTAATCAAAGTTAATTTTATAAATAAATTACTAAGTAATTAAATAATTATAAAAAAATACAAATATATTAGTATGGTGATTTAAGGCCCTCTGGCGGAAAAGAATACAAATATCTCCTGTTATAATTTCTTATAATTTATAACTTATATCTTTTTTGGATAGTCTAAACTATAATCTTTTTTTGGCAAATCAAAACCAAGAAATAGTTAAAATTTAAATTAAAAGTTATAATAATTTAATTTTAGGGTTTAAAATTGAAAATCGAACAACTTTTATAGAAAATCGAACAACTTTTATGAAAATCGAACAACTTTTATGCAAATCGAACAACTTTTATAGAAAATCAAACAACTTTTATTGAAAATCGAACAACTTTTATGCAAATTTGTATAAAGTATCAATTTTCTGTTGATTTAATTCGAAAAAAAAAGTTAGTTGATTTTACTTAAGTAATAAAAGTTTACTTAAGTACTTGATTTATTTAAACAATTACTTAAATACTTATGTTCAGGGCCAGTGCACCCTATAGGCGAACTAGGCAATCGCCTAGGGCGCCAAAGTTTAGGGGCGCCTAAAAATTGATAAGTTTTTTTATATGCTAACAAAAAACAACGCTTTTGCTCATTGAGCAATATGTACGTACATTTTACCGAACGCAATCTAAATCATAACAAATATGGCGGCGTCTTTACAATCAAAGTGATTTTCATAACAACTTTCAATAGTTAGTCGACTATATTCTTTATATAATTTATACTGACAATATATATATATATATATATATATATATATATATATATATATATATATATATATATATATATATATATATATATATATATATATATATATATATATATATATATATATATATATATATATACATATAGATGAATAGTGACATTCTATATACTATTATACATTTATATTAAGTTTTAGACACTTATTAAGAAAAGTAAAATATTTTTTATATGAATATATAATAACTAGCTTAAATCTAGGGCTATTATATATTACGTATTATATTATTATTATACTTCACCATACGTATAACTTTGCTATACAAAATAAAATTTGAATTATTTAAACACAATGCATCTAGCAGGTTAAATTTTTTGTTGAGTCGCTTCTACAATATGTCTTGATCTGCACCAGCTAATTACACATTGAAATCTCATTCATATAGCTAACTTCCATTTCCGTTTAAAAAAACACAAAAAATACTAGCAGGACGTATAACTTTGCCAAGTTGTTTTTTGTATAATACAGTTAAATGATAACCTGTTAAAACCTTACAGAGCTGTTCAGACCTGTTGGAAACTATAGCTAGCTATATATAATTTATTCTTGAAGCCAATCACAGAAGACCTATTAATGTATTAGTTAAACATCGCAACATTCATTTATTTTATTATTTTCTTGTTACATTTCAGATATGGCTGAGAGAAAGAACCCTTCAGGAGCTCAATATCGTAAACGAAAAGTTGAACAGCAGAGGGAACAAGAAAAACAGAAGGGTTCATTGCTAAAGTTTATATGCCGACAAGACTCTACTAAAGAGGATAGTAATGGTGGACAGATTCCTACTGATATGGGAGCTGAAGAAATATCTAATGTTGTTGATAATGATAATGTGATGATGAGTGAAACACTTTCTTACTCAACAGTTCCCGTTTCCCATGCAGATAATGGCCAATTGAATAATTCTCTCGAGGAATATGTACAGCAAGCAAGTGAAGAAAAAACGGATAATGTTATTCCACAGGATCCAGCACTTTGGCCTCTACTAATTAATCATAATACACGTGCAATCATTGTAGAACGTGGACCTCAGCAAATAAAAGATATCAGTTTCCCAAATGATAAGAACAATCAAAAGTTTTCAGTATTTCACTACTTAAGAAAACTTCCTAATGGAGAAGAATTATGTCGCAGCTGGCTCTTGTATTCAGTATTAAAAGACTCAGCGTTTTGTTTCTGTTGCAAACTGTTCAGTATGAAAGCAATTGGCGTATCATCACTAACTCATACAGGTTCAAGTGACTGGAAAAACATGGCGGCAATTCTTTCTTCCCACGAGAAAAGTCCTGAACATTTGCAGAACTATCAAAAGTGGAAAGAACTACATCAGCGATTACAGAGGGATAGTACAATATATGCAGAAATTTTGCGCAAGATGAAGAATGAAGAAAAGTATTGGCAGCAAATACTAAAGCGTTTAATAGCATTAGTGAGAGTTTTGGGTGAACAGAATCTAGCTTTTCGCGGTACAAATGAAACATTATACAGTGCCAATAACGGGAATTTTTTAAAATTTGTGCAATACTTAGCCATTTTTGATCCATTAATGAACGAACATCTAAGAAAGATATCAAATAAAGAGCTTCATACACACTATCTTGGCAAAGATATACAAAATGAACTTATTCAACTGTTAGGAAATGCTATTAAGAAAGAAATCATACAAACAGCAAATGCAATGAAATATTTTTCAATAGTTCTCGATGGTACTCCTGACTGTAGCCATGTTGAGCAAATGACAATAATTATTCGTTTTGTTAAAGTTGATTCATTGAAAAAGGAGTTTAGTATCAAAGAACATTTTTTAGGCTTTGTACCTTTAAAGAAAACAACTGGAGCCTATATGGCAGAAACGATAATACAACAACTAAAAGAAATGGAGTTACCTATTGGTAATTTACGTGGCCAAGGCTAATATAATGGCGCAAATATGATAGGCAAAAATAATGGTGTTCAAAAGAAAATATTAAACATTAATCCTCGAGCATTATTTGTTCCTTGCAGCGTGCATACTCTTAATTTGGTTGTCAATGATGCTGCAAGTTGTTGTCTAATGGCTACAAGTTTTTTTGATATTGTCCAACGTGTGTATGTATATTTTTCGTCTTCAACACATCGGTGGGTAGTTTTCACTAGTCATCAACCTACGTTAACTGTTAAACCTCTAAGTGAAACAAGATGAGAAAGCAGAATAGATTCTATAAAGCCTTTGCGATATGAACTTGGTAAAATATATGATGCACTGCTAGAAATAGCTGGTGATACTTCTCTAACTGGATCCTCAGGAAGCACTGCACGCAGTGATGCTAAAGCACTTGCGAATAGTGTTGCAAAGTTTAAGTTCGTGGTTTCAATTGTTGTATGGTACAACATACTTTTTGAAATCAATATAACAAGTAAGCAGCTCCAAGCTAAAGATTTGGATATTCATGCTGCTGTACAACAGTTACAACACACACAAGCCTATTTGGTTGACTGTAGGAGTGACATAGGTTTTGCAAGAATGCTAGTGGATGCTGCTGAAATTGCTAAGGATTTGGAGATACCACCAACCTTTGAGGCAGAATCACGATTACGGCGGAGAAAAAAGCAATTTGCATATGAAGCTGAAGATGAGCCTGTGCAAGATCCAAAACAAAATTTCAAAGTGAATTTTTTCTTTGCTATACTTGACACAGCACAGTTTTCACTTTATTTTGCATTTTATTTTGATTTTTTTATGTAAAAGGGGTGCGACCTTTGAAGTTTTGCCTAGGGTGTCATAACCCCTTTGCACCGGCCCTGCTTATGTTACTTGAAACAGCCTTATTTACAGCTTTTCTTACAGAAAATGCAGTAAACAAGGTTTTTTACAGACAGATTTTGTGAGTCGTGTATTTTATCAGATATTGGTGCAAGTTTTATATTTCTGTGACAAATTTCCGAAAATCTCTGCATAACTCGAGAGAAGGCCTTATTCCAAAACATCCTTCTGTCTTTAAAACGAACAAATTCAAATAAATTATATTTATAAATACTTATAAATATAATATAAACAATAAGTGAAAAAGAAATTTAAATAACAAACAGCAAAGCTTTTTTTAATTTCCGTAAAATCTTAGCACATGTTTATCATCAGAAGATAGTTTTGAATTCACTCAAGCAAAAAAGTACTTTTGTATGTTTGGTTCATCACCTAATCCTCCTTCATTGATAACGTGCCTCGTTTCAGTTTTACTAATTGGAAAAACTTTAGTTGACTCCTCAGCCATCAAAGCATCTATTATTTGTGTAATGTTCAAATAAATATAATTCAGGAGGCGGAACTATACCAATAATAAGAGTTTCTAATTGGGAACAGACTCCTCAATTAGACATGGTCTAACAACATTTTTATAGCTTTTCATGTTTATATAAAATTCACCATCCTCAATAAATCTCTGATAACAATAAGTCAAACTTTAAAAAGCCCTCAACTTTCCATTTTTGTTGTATTTTTCTCCTTGACAGAAACAGCAAGCATACTTTCCCTCGTGAACCTTTAAGTTAGTGTTAGTAATAAAAAGACTATTTGGTATATCTTTTATTTTTATTTTATTAATAATAAAAAATGTATAAAAATGTATTGACAACTGTATTTTTCATGATTCTTTTCTCTATTTGTAGCTTTTTTGGGATAAAGATTTTCATTATGACTTTCAGTGAACCTTGACTTCCATTAGTCTCTTATTAAGCGATTGCAGGGGTTTAGTCCTCTATGTTCAAAAATCTCTTTTATTAGTTTCTACGGCTCAGGAACAAATAAAACATCTTCTGAATTGTATCTACAATCTTGCAATTTCCATTGTTCTGTGTTTGTTGACAGCTGCATAAAAATTTTTCCTAAAATTGATTCAACGGGAAAGGTCTTAATTTTTTGGGGGGCATTAGGTTCGATACATTGCAAAATATACATGCAAAATTTATAAATGTATAAATAATATGAACATATGAAAAATAAAGTTCATATACATTACTGTTACCTCCACGACCTAAATTTTTACGTATTTTAGTCATTATACAATCCATTATTCCAAATTTTTATATAATTGAAACAAAGCTGTTGTTATTGACGTGACGGTGTAAGTGAAAATCTAAGCATGTTTTACAACGTGAAAATAGGTGATGCAGAAAAAAATGAGCTTTTTTAATTGGGGACTTTAATATGAATTGTTTTCTTTGTAATGATGACCATAAAGTTAAAAAACTTTATGACACAATTTTTGAAACAGATCTATACCCATAATTAATCGCCCTACTAGAGTAACATTAAACTCGGCTACCCTGATAGATAATATCGTTGCAACAAACATTTTTAATAAAGAAGTTCAATAAGATATCTTTAAATTTTAAATATTCGATCACTTTCCTAAAACTAAAAGATACTCAAGATATTTTGAAACATTTGCTTTGGGTTTATTTATTGAGAAAATAAATTAAAAGCATTCCTTTTTAGGATTACGCTTTTTTAATAATCACTTAGCAGAAGAAATATCAACGCAAGGACCGATCTAGCGTTTTTTTTGTGTGTTTGAGATGCTAACTTCCAAAAAAACTTCCAAACACGGAGTAAACTTTAAACATTTAAATGTTTATACTTATGTCATATAAAAAAGCTTTGCAAAAATATTGAAATGATTGAAGCCTGGGAAAACAATGCTTAAAAAGTTTGCTCTTCCCCAAACGTTAGGGCAACAAGTTCATTAAATATTTTTTTTTACTATTTTTAACTAAAATCATATTCATTTAGAAATTTCAAATTTCATGGAATAATCTTTCAGCGTTTAAAAATTATGGCAATATTAAATTTGTTACAATTTGAGGAGTTTAAACTTTAAATGGCTATCGTTAATATAGGAAAATGATCGAATCAGTTTTAAAGATAATTTTTTGAACTTCTTTATCAAAAATATCTGTTGCAATGATATTCTCTACCAGGGTAGCCGAGTTTATTGTTACTTTAGGTGGGCGAGTAACTATGGGTATTGATCTATTTCAAAAATTGTGCATAAAGTTTTTTAACTTTATCGTCATCATTATAAAGAAAACAATCTTATAAATTATTGCCGAATTTAATAGTGCTGTTAATAGTACCATTCATGCGTGTTTGACACGGAACTCTTGGCAGCCACTGCAACCGAAGTAATGGCGAGAAAGAGTCGTAGCACTTTTTATTATAAGAAAATACACAACGAATATTATACGTTATTATACGAAATATATTGCAAAATGTATGCAAATATATAACATATGTAAACTTGAAATCATGTAATGTTAAAACATTAAAACATGTATCAAAATTTGCAGTTTTACTTTCACTTGAAAACTGTATTGCGGCAAATCTATTTAATTTCGATCTATAGAATTTATTTCTGTTTTGTAAAGTCTTATTTATTATATAGTTTTAAAATTTTCTTTAGACTATAAGCTTGCTTGGCCGAGTGGTTAGCTCGCAGAGCTTCTGCACAAAAAAGCCATGGTTCAAATCCTTTTCGATTTTTTCAAAATACAAAATTTTGAAGTTTTATAGATATTACATACATACCATACGTAAAAATATTATACACTTTGACAAACGAAAGGATTTTTAAAAAAGTCTAAAAATTCACCGGGAGAAATTTTTTGCGTGTATCATGATTGAGATATTTATTAATGTGCTCAGGTAATTAGTCCTAATATGCTGCGGATGCAAAGTGGGCCAGGCTGTAACAAAGTTATTAAATGATGTTCTTAAAAAAAAATCTTTTTAGATACGTGTATAGTATATACCATGTCCTTTTTAAAATTGGTATTATTTTTTTTATAACTCAAAAACTGTTTTTACAGTTACAAATTTAGGAGGCGCTTTTTTCAGATATTCAAAACAGCTAAAAATTTATTAAAAAATGTGTTCAACTTTATTTCTTCCCAAATTTAAAAGTAATCTTATTCGTGGCGCATTTTTTAGTAAATTTTAAAATAAATTTAAAGCTTATTATTTTCTTGCAATAATAACAAAATATGAACGTAAACTACCTTTTTTTTTAATGTTTAAAATAATGTGTAAAAAATCTTTATTACAGTTATATATACATAACCTGATGCTTTTTGAAACACAAGCGAACACATTTATAAGTATATACAACAAATGATTATTATGTTTACTATGAGGTAAAATTAGTTTTGGCTGCTAATCCTTGCAACTTTGAGCTTTAAAGCTGAAAACATTTTGTGCAACCCCCTCACTTTGAGGGGGTTTTAATATTTAACTTAAAAATGCGGAAAAATTTGTTGATCAATTCTGTTAATTTTGATAAAATAAAGATGATAAAAATATGTTGTTCATAAATTTGAGTACTGACTACCTGTAAAAGCTCTACAGCATTTTCCTTCATACGGAAATAACTAACATTAAGGTTGTCAATTAAGTTAGGGTTACTATTGTTTTTAAATTATTACTATTTTCATTAGCGTTATACTGTTAACATTTTTTAGTTGTATAATGAAATATTTTGAAATATACAAATGTACCGGTTCTCAATGCACGAAGAGTCTTCCTTTTGGTTAAACAACGCTATATTACAATGCTGGTTTAACTAGTCAATGCATTTATGAACAAAAATTATTAGAAAGCAGTCATCGTAATTTATCTTTATTTTTGACTTGTGTTGTTCTCTTAGAACTATTTACAAGTATAGATGAAAAAAAGTTATTTTATGAAGAAACTTCAAGCTAATGTCAACCATTTATTTTAGACCTCTGAGTTTTGAGTTTAAAAAAAATAAATAAATCTGTATTGATTGATAAAGAAAGTAAACTTAAAAATGAAATGACAAATTTGATTCCATCCATCTTTGTTTTCGAAGGGCAAAAATCATCTGTTACAAACTATTGTGAAATCGTTATGATTGATCAAATGGTGCACACTGCTTCATCCAACGCAACTGACTCTAGTCAATCATGTTTTAGTGTATGTAGCCCATCAGAAATAAATGGAATTGTTATTAAAATAAGCATTCCAATCATATTCTCGAGTATGGTTTTTCAAGCTCGCATGCTTGGGTAAGATGCTCTGAACGCTTATAGCATAATACATATAAAATAAAAATTATATCTTGGCAAGCAAGATCTTTTGAAGCCAAGAATTAAGGCAATAAGCAAAAGTGTTTTATTCAGAAAACGTTCTTTGATTCATTGTTGATTAACCAAAAGCAGGTGGTAGTGGTAACGCTAAGGATGGTAATACAGCCAGAATAACTTTTTTAAATAAAGACGTCTTCAGTGAAATTACAGGAATTGATAAAATGTTAATTGAAAGATTGCATGTTATACTTTGTTGTATTTCCAGTGGTTTTAAATTAGACATTTTAAAATTTCGGGATTTTTGTTTTGAAACTGCCATATATTTTGTTAAATGTTACTCCTGGTACATGCTTTGTTTTATTCTAAATTATGTATGATTTTATTAATATTATTATATATATATAACCTTGATAAAAAAATTATAAAACTTATTACACTAAAGAGAGGTCTCAAACC